TATCTCTTGATGCTACTGTAAAATAAAAATAAAAGATTAATAAAAAAAAAAAAATTAGATAAAATTAAAAAATTTAATAAAATATTAAATTAAATTATTCAATTTATTAAGAAAACAAATGAAAAATATTTCGAACGACCGTATATAAAACACAATAGAATTGTTGTAAGTTAATTATAAATAGATAATACTTCGATATTATGTCAAGGTATGGATCATATACTTCTATAATAGCATAACCATTTATTTCATGCTGATGAATTCACCTTGTTCATTATTCCTATCCGTTTAAACAACAAAAATAATATATAATCGTGTACTGAGAATATTTATGCATGTGTGCATTCAATGAATGACATAATAAGCCACCCACGTAACAAGTTAACGATTGTCTTAGGTACCTGAAATAAATATAACGCGTCATCGTAATAAAACCTGCGTTTAGTAAGATTAGTATGATTATTCAGGTGAAGTGAAAATCATGTGTGTTATTTGTCATCGACTACCAGCAACCTTTACCACAGACGAATAGAAGGGGAAAGTAAAGAGACGAAATAATGATCACTTCAGTTTTTTATATCTTTTGTGAGATATTATCTTTCACGATAGATTAATAAATTTCGAATAATATATAATCACATAATCTTTCTTAGTATTGTTATTCATATTTTGTACGATATATTTATCATATCTTGGTAGCTTTTATTTATCAATTTAACTAGTAACAAAAATAACCAAAAATGAATCATGAAAAATTATTTGATTTTTCGTTTCCACGTAGCAATTACGTTTAGATTAAAAACCATTATAATTATCTGAAGAAATATATGATTAAGAATATTTCTCTTAATAATTAAATTTCATTTACACGAGCTTTTATTAATTATTTCTTAAACATATTTAAAATAAAATACAATGATGTATTTATTAATGTTTTTGTTTTAAATAGGATCCTATTTAATTGACATTTACCGATAAATTATTTATTTCTAGATAAAAAAGAAACAATGATAGGGCTTGGTAACTCTCAGAGGCGTGTCGTTTTATTCACTATGAAACTATGTCATCTTTCTTTGTATTAGATCGATGAAAGTAGAAATGATATTTACGTAAGATACCTTTCATTAAAAAGTAGACCGAAACGTCGTTAAAACTTTCCGAACTAATTTATGTTAAATCGTTTCTTTTTTTTCTTTTTTTTTTCCCCCCCCCCTCCCCCCGTAAGGATTTTTAAATCCCACTTGTCGTACTTTCTATTCAGGTGTATACATTAGAATTACATCAATCCGTTAAAGTAACCTGTAAATTTATGTACAAACAAAAAATGTCTATTCATGCGGAAAAAACATAAATACATAATATTACGTTTTTAACACGAGTATATTGTCAAATTACTTAACGGTCAAATGAATAACGGTAAAGAAAAAATGGTGTCGTATTATTTCTTAAGAAATCATAGCAACGATACTAATTAGAATAACAACAACGAATGAAAAGTAAAAGCATCATTGTATTTGGTACACGTGCAAAATTATTTTCCTTTAAGATAATAACACGAAAGAATAATGAAATAAATGTGTTAAAAGAATATTAATGTTGACGGTATTTTAATCAAAATTATCTATGACGAATAATTAGCAGTAATAATAATAATAATAAACGATTAACATATAATAAAGTAATGTATTCGAAACTGGACAAGCAACGTTGGTGAAGGTGAATTATTACTTATATAGCAAATTGACGATCCTTCCTTTCAATGGCCTCGAAAGATTGCGTAAATTGTTGGGAACTAGAAGTGGGGGCCTTATGCGAAAGCTAGAAAGCAAGAAGGCAAGCAAGAAAGCAAGCAAGCAAGCAAACAAGCAAGGATGTTTCCAGGAATCATTGCCAAGTTAATCATGACCGAATTCATCGGTTTCTTGGGCGTGGAAAGTAGAAAACTAACGTTTAGTATGATACCCACGTAAAAAACTCGAAAAGAGATAAAGAAACAAAGGAAGAGGAAAAAAAAACAATTCTTATCTTTTTTCCTTTTTCTCTCAAGGAAGAGAAAGAAAGAAATATGAAGAAGAATTCGCGGATATCTTGGATTCTTTGAACAAGTGTAACAACAGTTGCCCGTTCTCAGCGTGCTTCCATCGAAGTATTTCAAATAAATAACGTTCAGAAAAAAAATATACCATTCTATTTGAAATATATTCCAATAGGTTTAATTCCAATGTTAAAACCTCTCAGAGGTGGTTGGAAATCAAACGTACCGCCTAACAGTGCTTTAATCTGTCACGATCTGTCATCCCGTTTGACGTAATGCAATCATCGTTCATTGTACTTTAACTACTACTATTGTAATAAACCACTACTATTATTTCTAGTTTGTTATACAGCTAATAAAATTCATTTAGAAGATATATATATATATATATATATATATATATATATATA